CTAAAGATGAGGAGAAGGCAGGACCACAAGAGAATGTATTAGAGTCTCAGGTTATGAGGAAAAAATGTCTAAACTTAAGATACCTGCATACAACTGGATATCATGGATATTACCAGATACTGAATACTCAAGTACTAAAGAAAAAAAAATAGTTTCAGAGTTCTTGTGCCTGCAGGAGATCATGAATGTGGTGACACTCCCCTAATGAGGTGTGACCCTCACATGACAAACAACAACCACCAGAACATCCTTTTTCAAAGCAGTGCTGTGTCCCCAGCAGGAATCAGACATCTGCTTCCATTCAGGTGGCATCTTCACACTGCCAGAAGAAAAGCCAGGATGACAAAGGAATAATGAGATGCATAGAGGTAGCTTGAAGAAAGACACCCTGACCTCACCACCAGATGTCCCTAGCTGTAGGACAGGGATCCCTCCACCTCTGATGCCTTGAGAGGCTGATCTGGAACAGAGACTAGACAGAGCTAAAAGAATAAAGTAGGTATTTATTAAAAGGTCTTAAAAGGATACACCTTGGGCAGTACAAGAGTCTGGCCATAGCTACACTCAAGATGCACCCAAAATGGTCACAAGATGGACAACCGCTCACAAGGTTTCACTCTTTTATAAGTTTTGGTCCATTTACATATTGGAGTTAATTGTCCAATTACAGCTTCAAATTATGAAGTCCCATCCTCCTTGTTTGCTCTCTTCAATTCACTGTTTATGCTTTTTGGGCCTGAAGCTTGTAACCTTGGTTCCTTGTATCCTTGCTTCTCAAGCTGGAAAAGGATTGTTTTGTCTAACTATCCTGTGAAGAGAACTTACTAACGCTTAATATAAAGCTCAGAGCTACACACAAAGGCAGCACAGAATCTGAAAAATATGAAAACTAAAACTTAAGACATCATCTCCATATGCAACGCCATGACCTACCTTCCTGGGAACTTCCTGCCTGTCCTTTGTGCCCCAAGCACTCAAGAAAGCAGCCCTCAAGGGCAACATAACCATTTTTACAAGGGAGGGGGCCTGGAAATACCCTGCAACAGGTTAACCAAAGTGTGTTAGAAGACTTGTAAGCCAGTAAGGAAGAGAAGGACCAAGAGCTACATCTGAAGAATAACAAGTCTCCCTCTCCCCGAAACACACCTCCAAGCCACTGAGGAAGAGGCTTCTGCAGTTCAGCTGCTGCACCCCTCTGCCAGTATCAGTTAGGAAATGCAGCCAGCTGAAGATGCACCACTTCCAGAACAGGGAAATCATAGCAGCAAACTGACCCTCTCTAAATTGCAGCTTCATATGAGAAGTAAGGTATGCACAGCTGGTGCAGCTCTATACAGGATTCCAGGTACTGAGAATACATCCAGAAGCATGCAAGACACAGTGAGGGCACTGTAGGGCAGTGTGGCAATTTAAAAGTTTGTTGGTTTCCAGCAGAAAATGTACCTTCCTCTGCTTAAGACTAAGCCTTCCCCATACCATTTGATAATGCCAATTTTAAAAAGCCTGTTTTCCTGTTAGAGGACTAGAGCAAGAAAAGTTATGAAGACATACAGACAAATGCTTTCCTAAGTGACCTTAAATGGTATAAAACATTCTTCCTGACAGCCCCAAGTCCATCCCTGAAAAGAGGGTAAGTGGGAAATTAAGTATTTCAGCATTAAGTAGGCAAAATTCATACTAAAACCATTCTGAAGTCTAAATCTGAGTACAATAAAACTTCTCTAGCAGTTCTCTGTGGATGACACAACAGAGTGGTGCATTCTCTATTGTGATGTCCAAAAGAATGCAAACAACCCACAATATAAGGATACCACCTTTGTAACATCCCACTGGATCTATAAGTGGGTCAGAAACCACAAGCAGAAAAACTTTCACCAAGAATATAAAATCCCATAGGAAAACCAGGAGGAGGAGACAAAAATCTGAGTGCAGGAGATGGTATGTTAACTCAGCAAATTAGATAAAGTAAAAAAAAAAAAAACAAAAAAAAACCAGTTTACTTATTGAAATTGTTTCTTGAAGTGACAAAGTCTCTCTCATTGCTGTAATATTGGTGACAATTAATAACACCACTTCTCTTAAGCTCCATCTGAAAGTTTGCTTGTAAAAGTAATATGGTGTGGAGGGGGTAAGAGAGTATATTTAAGTGAACTTTGCCTAATTGCTGCTTCCAACCACAATCCACTTCTTCCACAAGACACTGAGAAACAGTGGCACTTTTTCTTTAAAAAAAATCTTGTTTTATACATAAACTAAATTTTTTTAAAAAGTTTGCTGCCATCACAACATTAATCATGAATATTTTGTTCCTCACTGTATTGTTGTAGAGCATTGCTTATGGCTATTTTTCAAGACAGTCTAAGTGAAACCCAAAGATTGGTATTATTCCACTCATTTTAGTATTCTGTAGGTTTATCAGGGCTGACTTTTGTGTCTTAGAGTTATGTCTACTTTTATCCATCATTGATTCCCTTCTCCCACCTATTTATTTCAAGGGGCTTAAAAAACAGCACTCAAGAGTACTGCAAATAAACACACACTCCAAGGTATCTGATAAACTCTAAAAAAAAAAAGTATTAGAACAATTCCAAGAAGAAACATAATCAAAGATAATCAAATACAGTGCCATGTCCATATATGCAAACCTGGAACTAAAGGGGAGCTTATTACCTTACTTGCTACAAAAAAGTCACCTAAATGTACCTGTAAGGGTACAGATTTTTGTCTCTCATTACTTCTGTTTTTAAGAAATTATACCTCAAAACTCACCAGAAAAAAAATTCAACCAAAAAACCAAAGAGATGAAAGAATGAGGTCTCGCTGATATCTCCTCAGATAAACAATCTGTTAACTTGGTAAATGCTGTACTTTTGAACTTGATGGAATTTTAAATTTATTTTGTAAGACTTAGGTGTTCCAAAATAAATCACTAACCTTCTTGCCCTAATAAACAAAATACACACACCAAGAAGGACAATACCTCATAATAAAACATTATGCCTCTAACTCAGAAGTTATTAAAGAAACATCTCCATTATTAAAGAAACTGATAGGGTGAGTATATGTTAACCCCAGTTATTGGAGAAAGAGGCATTAATTGAATACCATCCCCAGAAACACTTAGGAGCTCCAAAAAGTTTGCTTATAGGAGAGCATAAAATTAGTTCTGTAGTTACTAATGTAATGGTACTATTGCATATACAGTTTACAAAATTGAAACCACAGAACCTCAATTGTCCTACAAGGGCTGAAGTTCTTTTAATCAAAAGAAAAACAAACACTAGGTGTTTTTCCAATTTAAGTGGCCTATAGGAAAAGCAAATCCAGGCTGGAGGTTAGAAACCATCATTTTTATCTGTGTATATTTTTAGGTAGGTAATGTAAAAATAGAGGGTGCAAACAATTAGCCTTATTAACAAAGACACAGACTGCGTTCTCCCTCCTAGGGGAAAGGCATTCCCTTAAGCCAAGATCCCGCATTCATCTAATCCCACCCTCGCGCTTTCCTTCCCCCAGCCTTTTCTTTGGCCGGTGGGGACTTGCGCCCATCCAGAGGGGCTCGCTCCAGCCTTGGGAGGCACCCCGAGAGCAATCCTCTTCCGGTAAGAAATCATCCGACACCCATGGAGCCTGCCTGGAGAGCAGGAAAGTAGGCAGGCTTCATTTGACCGCTACAGCAAAACTGCTGCACGCTCCTGTGGTCCCCCTGCTCAGTGTAGTAAGGCACAGCAGCATTCTAGCCATTAACTTGCACAAGCCGAGTACCAGGCTATGCGAGCGTACCCATATTCCTCGGGGCGGGGCTGGGGGGGGCGAGGAAGGCGGAGGAGAGCAGCTCAGCCTGCCACGGCGGGGCCAGCGAGGCTACTACAGCACACAAAACCAGGAGCAGGAGTTTCCCACCGAGCGCATCTTCCACCCAGAAGCCAGGTCTGCTCCGCTTCCGGCAGGGCGCATCACTTCCCACCCTTGCCCGACAATATCCATCACCCCTCGTCAAATATTTTTTATGGTTATAGGTTTAAGGACAAGGAGGGAAAAAAAAAAATCAAGCTTTTTCTGCTTCACCGCCTCCCGCCGGATGCACATAATGCGGCCGATAACGAAGCGAGAATCCCCCACCGCGAAGCCCCCCGCCCCCGGAGCGCAGATGCTGCCCCGGCCAAGCCTCCCGCCGCCGGCACCGGGTCGCCGACACAAAGGCTCAAAAGCACCGTAAATACAGCCCCGTGGCCGCCGCCGCCGCCGGAGAGCGCCGGGCGAGCCCACCCCTCCCGCCTCGGGAGATGTCAGGTTACAGCCGAAAAGCGATTTACCGGGCTCGAAGTCAGGAATGCGCGCCTGGTATTCCGCTCCGACCCTCATTCCTACATCTGCAAGGCAAAGGGGGGAAGAGAAATTAAGGGCTGGAGCGTCCCCGGGCGCCGTCCCAGGCTCCCGCCGTGCGGCGGGCGGGCGGGCTGGCGGAGCCCCCGCCGCGGCCGTGCGGAATAAGCCACCTCCTCCCCCCGCCCCCCCCCGCCCACCGCCGCCGCCGCGGATTAAGCCCCGACGACCGCCGAGGAGGGGGCAGGAGGAGGCGGAAGGGGGAGTTTATTCCAGCGGAACAATGGGGACGGCGGCGGCTCCCGGGAGACACTCCCTCCCCATCGTTAAGTACCGCGGGGGCAGCCGCGGGGCCGCGCTGCGCGCTCCCGCCCCCCGCCCCGCACACGCGCGGCCGCGGCTCGGCCGCGGCACGGACGGAGCGGCGGAGCCCCGGCACCGGGAAGGGGGAGGCGGCTCGGCTCGGTTTGCCGCCCCTCCCGCCGCCTCCGCCACCCCCCTGCCGCCGCCGGCGGGGCGGCCCCAGGCTCGCACCGTGCTCGTCGCCACTGTCGCCGCCGCCGCTCTCCGGCTCCGAGTAGTGCCCATTGGAGGGGCTGCTGCTCTTGGCGCCGTTGGGGGCTGCCCGGCTCTTACCCCCCAAGAGCTCCGCGCCCTTCTCCATCATGCCCGGCATGCCGTGGCTGGGAGCGGGGGAGAGCGGCGGCAGCGCTGGCTGCCGAGGGGGGGAAGTTAATACGGAGCCGCCACCCCCTCCCCCGGCTCCGGGAATCCCTCCGCGCCGGCCCGGCCGGATCTCGCCGAGGGGCGGGCGATGCCGCTGGAGCGCCGGCGGCGCGGCCCAAGGAAGGAAGGAAGAATTGCTCTCGCTCCCGGAACGCCGCCGGGCCGCGGGGCTCACCCGGCCAGCGGGCCCAGAGCAGAGAGGGGACTATTTCCCGGCGGCGGCGGCGCAGGGATCCCGGCGGGAGATGTGGCGGCTCCGGTGGTGCCGGGGCGAGGGGCGGGAGGAGCCGCGGCCGCGCGGGGACCGAGCGGGGACGGGAGGCGCAGGAGCGGGGCCCGGCCCGGGGCCAGGGCCAGGGCCGGGTCCCGGCGGGGAAAGCCAGCGCTGTCACATCGCTGAAATCACAAGATGTGTGAACCCGTGCTGGTATTTCTTTCTAAATTCAAAAAGTGATCTATTTCTTTACCTGTGAAGTGAATTCTGATGCGTTACCAAGTGCTGCGGTGTTACCATCCAGTTTATCTCAAATATTCACGTTTTATGAGGTATAAAAGGGCTGAGACAGGCTCCAGGCCGACACTCAGTTACGATGTGACAGCAGCCTTGCTGCTTAATCTGGAGATGCATTATTAGTTTGGCTTGTTCTGTGCAAATACATTTAATGTTCTTGTGGCTATGTTTTAATATGTGTTATAGGTATTTTTAGTAATGCAGTGATAGTTTGTCAGTCTGATTTCCAGATGCAGGGAAAAAGTATACATTTAAATTGCTGTATGTTAAATTAAAGTCTCACGTTCCAGATAAGTGTGTCTGACATGATCCATTACCATTTGTCATATCTCAGCAATTCTTCCCAAACTGCCCTGGTGGCTGTCTACCCCAAGCTAGCTGGTTAATTGATTGATTGATTGTTTGATTGAGGAGTGCTAGTGGAAATAGTGCAGCTGCTTTCTTAGGGTGAGATAAAGGGGAGATGCCTACTTGTGTCCATGCTTATGGCTACTGAGTGTTCATAGCGCCTTATAGTGGGATTGTAACATGATGTAGTTAGTCGTGTTTGCTGTTTCTTGAGACTTGCCTTGAAAGAATCCCATTATGATCAAGTTAGATACCTTTGGTGTATGTATGCTTCCTAGAATGTGTCAGGAAGATATTGTCAAGACTTTTCCTTCTTTGGGAATTTTGTGTCTTTGAAGAACTGTTTTTGTGCCAGCTTTTGGCTTTCTGGCTATCAAAAATGCAAGTAAACAAGCTGTGACTCCTTTATGCTTGCTGTTTTTCAAGAGCTCCAGAGAAAGATTAGCAAGGACAAGGTAGGAGCAGCGATGGTTCACTGCCTGCAAGTGCCTTAACAATTGAGGATTTGCAGTCTCACAGTTTAACATACACAAAAGAACTCACAATGAGAAACCACTGATATGCCAGAGCCACAGGAAAATCTTGAACCAGTGTTTGTATTTTTAAGGCATGAAATTTACGAAAAGCACAAAATCGTTATGAAAATTGCAGGAAATTGGGATTTGTTGTTTTAGTTCTCCTAAGGCAGTCTATTTGAGGCTTTTATCTTTATTTTCTATGGATGTGAAATTTGGGCATACATGTGGCACTACGACTGTATTTGTCTGACAGTTCTTAACTACTGATAAAAGCTGCTGGAAGTTTTAGTAAGCTGTTACAGCTTTCAGGAATGTTAAGTTCTTACAGGTGTCATGAAAGTAACCACCTGAAAGGAAGAAGGATTCCTTGTAGCACGGTTTGGAGGAGAATTGTCAGAAGAGCTTGACCTTTTCTGTTTCTGTTATTTGCATGGCTGCTGATGAAGCTGCATTTTGGAGGTTACAATAAAGGGGGCATAAGTTTACTTAGTCAAGCACTTAGATATTAGCAGATCCATATAATGATTTTTTCCCCCCCATGCAGTCTGGAAGTTGGCTTGCTTTGGGCTCTTTCTTCTTGTGGATTCTCGTCTCATCCTTGTCTTGTCTTCCGTTTTAATTTTTTGGTTGTTTTTTTATCCCTCTCTCCACAGTTGTTCTGTCAGGTTCAGTATACGGGTGCTTCTGGATTACAAGTGACATGACAATCAAATAGTTGTTTGTGAGATTGGTCCTGCATTTGTTATAGAAACTATGCATAAGAAATTATCTTAGATTAATGTTAGCATATAGGATCACAGCATGGGTTGGGTTGGAAGGGACCTTGAAGATCATTAGTTCCAAACTCTTGCCAAGGGCAAGGATGCCACTCACTAGATCAGGTTTTTCAGAGCCCCATACAGCCTGGCCTTGCACAGGGATGGCGTATCCACAATCTCTCCTTGCTTTATGTTGTCTCCTTTCTTCTTTATATCCTTCCTTCACTGTGTCCCTATTTGTAATTTTTATTTCCGGACATGTTCCCTAGAGGGCAGCAAAGTAACCAATGCCTTCAGAAGGTGCACATTGAGCCAGTCTAAAGATTCTCTTTATGAGCCTGTCAGTTTTTCATTCTTGGAGATTATGCCTTTCTTCTTAAAACTTGTTTCCCAAGTCATAGTTTCAGGGGGAGGGTTTGTATTTGGTTATACAAAGTGGATTGCAACAGAGAGGAAGGGAATTAGGGAATGGACAATTTGAAGGCAAGGTGAAACAGTTGCTTCTTCCCTTTTAGTGAAATTGCTAAAAAGTAGAAACAGAAGCTCAAAAGGAAACAGCTTTCCCTATCCATTAATTAACTTTTATTGAAACCTGCACAGCTTCTGAGGATGCTCCTGAGGCCTCTTGCAATTTTTGTTTGTGTGGGTTCTTAGAATTCATTGCAAACCAGACTTTGATTGGAGTGTGGACTCCTGCATATTGTTATCTTATGGTGAGGGTAAATGATGGTATTAATTGTTGAGTGGTGAGCTAGGGGAAAGTAAAGACTCTTTATTCAGAAGAAACTAAATTCTTAAAACGAGGTTTTAACATGCCTATATTACTAGAGAATAATTTAAGATGGAAATGACCTCTAAAATTGAGTCCAACCATTAACCCAGCACTGCCAAGTCTGTCACTAAACCACATCCCCAAGTGCCACGTCCATGCTTCTTTTATATACTGCCAGGGGTGGTGAGTCCACTGCTTTCTTGAGCAGCCTGTTGCAATGCTTGACAACTCTCTCTGTGAAGAAAGTTTTCCAAATATCCAATCTAAACCTCTCCTGATGCAACTGGAGGCTGCTTCCTTTGCTGTTACCTGTGAGAAGAGACCAATCCCCACCTGGCTACAGCCTCCTTTCAGGCTCTTGTAGACAGCCATGAATATTCCTCTCAGCCTCCTTCTTTCCAGGCTTAACAACCCCAGCACACTCAGCTCCTCCTCATAAAATTCATGCTCCAGACCTTCCACCAGCTTTGTTGCTCTTTGGATGCTCTTCATCACCCCTTGTATGTTATGCCCATCTCAACTATAAATTTCTAACTCATTAAATTCTAGGTCAGGGAAAGTGTTGCAGATCACATGTTTGTCCTTTTTATCTTATGGTGACAGTTTCATGCTTTCACTTTTTTTGGAAAGAGCGTTTTGACAGTTTAGTGTCTTGGGAATGTTGCCTTACACCATTTAAAATCAGTGTCTTTAAATATTTTTAGAAACAGGTCAACAGATTTGTGATGCTTCTCCAGAAAAATTTTAGATAATGATGTGTGTTGTGTGAAACCGAAAGAAAATAGGATGACCATGGAAACCTTTTGGCAATATCCAGCCTGGACACTTGTGCTTTAATGTGAAGGTCTATAATTGTTCCATAAAGAAAAGTAAGCTCTTTGTCGTCATAAACACATTAGGAAAAGCATGCCTAGGATCAAGGTAATTTCAGAGAAATTGCACTGCTTGGAGTCTATTCACGCCTCTGCTGGAAAATATATAGGTGTCATCCATCAAGTCCTGTGTTTCTTTTATATTAAACACAACTAGGCCTGCTGGGTGGTAAGTGGGAGGCTTAGAGTGGACAGGATGAGATTTATTAGTTCTTTTACACTGATGGTTGTTGCTGTGTTTCATTCAACATTCTTGAATTTTTCAAGGACTTCACATTTTAGTTGAACCAGTGGAATGGTGGATTTTCTACAGCTCTAGAAAATCAGGTCTTCAGTCTCAATCTAGCACTTATTAGTACTTTTGAATTCTAGTCTTAATGTTTTAAGGCAGAAATTAGTAAAAAAATTGTTCTATAACTGGCTATTAAAATGAAATAGCAAAGAATTTGCTGCCTTTCTACTGTTGATATCCCCCAACTGAGATTTTTTTTCTTTGTTTTCTTTCTTTTTGTAGGGCTGTCTTCCAGTTAAAGGTTTCAAGAGTTATCTCCTTTCCAGATCTGAATGGAATTCTTCTGCATCAGAGCTGTTGGTAACTTATTCTTGGGAGATGAAGAAAGTCATGTTGCAGTTCCTTTGAGAAGCTTAAGGACTTCAGCAGTTGTAGACATTTTTTCCTGTGTAAAGGGCCTGTTACCAGGTATCCTATCATATAGCCAAAATTTGAGACTCAGATTGTGTTGTACAGTGTTAGTGGTAGATACCTTGAATGGAGTGTGGAATGTTAGGACTTGGCACTCTGTTAAAAATAGTATTTTGAGATAAATTATTTGTTGCACCGTAGGAAGGCTTGTTCAGGAACGAGCATAATGGGTTAGTGCTAACATCCATCTTGCCCAGTACTTTGATCCTGACAGTTCTACAGAGGAAATCATTTTGGAGCGGGTGCCATAGTCTCCATTCTGTGTTGGCAAGAAGCCTATTCTTGGTCTTCTAAAGATTTTTACTCTGAAGTGTAAAGCTTGGTAAAAAAAATTCTTCTTCCTATGGATGTGTTACGAAAACTTCTGTTTTGCCTTTACATATTCATAGATTTGTTTCAGTGACTTCCTACATGTGAATTTTACTGACACTGTATAATTATATTTTTTTCCTTAAAAAGAAATTTTCTCTTTTTCTTGACAGGAGGGACAGCTGTTCCTGCTCAGCCCTTTCAGTATCATTGTTTAATTTCTCTTCAGTTTATCTAAATATCTGGTGAGCTGTACAGTTTGCAAACAGTAAAGAGGTTCCAGTTTGTTATGATGGCACACACTGTGGGAAAAGCTGAGTGTACCTGACTTCATCTTGTGTTACATAGGCAACTCAGGACAACAGGTCATTTCAGAAAGTCAGTCTACAGACATTATTTAACCACTTATATTTTTGCATACCCTTTTTAAAGGAAATTTTGGTAATAGCTGGCAGTATATCTTTGAATCAGAGCATTGACATTCAGTATTGTCAGTGCAGATTCTCAGACTGTGTATGAAGATGTTGTATACGTGGCTGAAATGGTAGCACCTCTTTACAAATAATTTGGGTTTAGAGCCAGTTGTTTCCCACAAAAGGGAAAAAATATATTGTAATTGTTTTGGTAAGCTAGTGTGTTTTTACTTTGTCCTCTTTCACTTTTTTAGTGGTTACCTAAACCACTTTTCATAGGACTGTTCAGCAGAAAGCAGAGGTCACCTTAATTGATACTTAAAGCTGTTGAACATCTGTAAGAAATGTAGTTTGGTTCTCCTGCACGATGTTTACATTTCTGTGTGTTTGTTGTGGTTTGGGAGGGGTTTTGTTTGTTTTTCTAAATGCAAAGCAAGATCTTTGATTCCATGTGGTTGGGGAAATTGTGCTAAACTTATGCTTTGCTCTTGTCAGGTTGCCTGTTGCTGTGCTAACTTGAAGAGGTGACCATTTGCAGTGAGTTAATGATGTTTATGCTCTCTCCTGTGGATCTCTCCTCCTTTTCCTTCCATCAAGCAACATCACAAAAGGAATAAACTGTGCAAGATTTTCTCCTTGCAGTTAATAATACCAAGCACTCATTTTGTTGAGAAAAATGTTCTTTAAAACATTCTAGAATAAAGAAATAAAATCATCTGCTGTGTTACCATTGTTGTGTGCCTAATCCTGAAAAAGAGAGAACTTTGCCCCAAACACCTTACAGTTTGTTTGGGATCCAACCAGTGTATGTAATTGGAAATTGAATTTCCAATTGGGAAAGGAAAGTGAAGGGAGAATAAAGGAAACATCAGTAATATGTTGGACAAATTATGTGAAATAGCTGTAACCCTCTACTGCCCATCCATTTAAGATACAGTGTTATTGCAGGAGTAATCTTGAGGGATCTGAAAGAACCAAGTGTTAGGAACTTCACTTGAGGAAGATGATGTATTTTTACAAGTGGAAAAAAGATGTAAGGAGTGTTGTAGTAGCCAGTAGTGTCAGCTTTTTTTGCTGTATACCTTAGGCTTGGGCTCTCAGAACATTTTATGCTGTAGCATACTGGCACCTTCTGCTAAATGTTGTCCTCCATAGCTTATTCTACCTGGCTTCTTGTGATTTAAGTGGAAAGTGGAAAGTAACACTGTGTAGGACCAAAAGAAGGTCCCTGATGTATTACAAGAGTTTGTATTTCTGCTTTCTATTTTGTTGTTTCTACAGAAATATTTTGTTGTTTCTTAGAAGTCCCTGTGTTATGGAGCTGTGCTGGATTTTGAAGGTCAGTGTTGCTGGACTGTGTAGATTTCAAAACATTACTGCTATTTAAGAGTCATATCTTTTCCTGCTGTAACTACTGTTTGGCTCATGTAATGAGCCACAGTTCAGATATACAGTTTAGGAAAGACCAGCAAGAGGTTCCATTTTGAGAATATCTCTAAGATGGAGTTGCAAGCAACAAAAATATAATCATTAATGAATTTTTTCTTATATAAGTAAGATTTATTTTTCCACATGGAAATTGTTATTATAATACCTTTCACTGGAATTTTCTAGGAGTACAAATGGTTCTTTAAAGGTATCCTGTTAAAAAAACCCAGCAGCTCAACAACAAATAAATCAATATGGCTGTATCTGGCTCTTCAAGTTGTATTGTACAGTGTTTCCAGGAACACGTTCTCTCTTCTCCTGTCTGAGGCAGATAATGACTACATAAATATAAATCTGAAATCTGCAATTTTGCATTTGAGGCTATAGATCAGTACATAAAGGGTCAATCTACAGTAGCAAAATTGTCCTTGGAAGGAATGAACTGTTCACAAAATTTCTGCTGACGTGTTTGTTAAACTGAGAGGAAAAACAAAGCTCATGCCTACACAACTTCAGGGTGAAAATGTTGGATACCACTAGGACCTTGCTATTGTTGGTTTCCACATAGTTTTTAGAAAAACACCCACTCAACTTTACTTTCAACCAGTGCTTTAAATTCTCTTATTGCTGGACATATTTTTACTTGCTTTTACATAGTTCACTATCTTCCATCTAAATTACGTACCTTTTAGTGAAGGTGGCTTTTGTCCTCAATAAATTAAACTAATTAAAACTTGAAATATGTTATAGTCTGGGAGCCTGTTATAAAGTCCATGTGTCTTAGACACATATTGTTCTACAAAACCAAAGAGATGACCCAGGTTTCAGAGTTACACTCTGAGCCCACTGCCAGAGATCCCTCCCTGTGAATACTGCAGAACTGGCAAGGGCATTTTTGATATGTGATGTTCTGCTGGTTTATTGTGTAAACATACACTTCTAACTTCCCACCCCATCCACTCATTCCCTGATTTCACCTTCCCATGTGCTACATGCTGTATTTTAGTTTGGTAGCTGCAGATAGGTCTGGATATTCTAAAAGAATGTCCTGATACCTCTCTGTACTGTGTGACCTTACAAAGAAGCTTTTGTATTAATTAACTGGTAGCAGTCTTTGCTTCACAATAATACATGGAAACAAAAAAAAAAAAAAGACTCCTCTTCTACTTGTAAAAAAATTAACCAAAATTAGAAAAGACAAACCTCCCCCCTGCCCCCCCCCAGCAAGTATGCAAGTGTTTATGAAAATCAATAGCTCATATGTTACTAGGTATGAATATGAGTCCAGTACTGATAAAGATCATGGAAAAAAACTGCTTTTAAGATATGATCAAATTTAGAAAATTAGTAATTTTTTCTCAGTGCAATTGCTGAAGATAACAATAAGAAAGTTATCACTTTGTTTAAATTTTAAATGGAAAAAAAGGCTGTATTATGCTAGTTACAAAACCCTTCCCTCCCTCCCTGCCAGATTTATGCTCCTCAGTTGTTTGGCTACTTCTGCTTTTCCCTCCCACTGTCAAAGAATGCAACAAAGTTTTGTCTACACAGAAAGCAGTAATGCATGTGAGTAATGTGAGTAGTGCAGCATGTTGACATTACTAAGTGGGAACTATGTGATGAAATGCTAAACTCAGAAAAAATGTGAAATAAAGTGGCAAGAGTTTAGTCTGATTTTTTCCCTTCTCTATTCTAGATGGGTTTTTTTTTGGAGGAGAGGTTGATTTCTGGCTGTTGATAAACCTTCCATAACTGAAAAGTACAAGGAACTGGTATGGTAAAGTCTTAAGGTAAGAAACATTACAGAATATGTGACTTCAAAGCAGGACTTCTGAGTACATGTAAGGCAAAACCTATAAAATATAAGCTCTGTGCAAGAAATTTATTCACTGTGCTGAGGATAGTTTTATGTAGTTATATGCTGGGTACTCTTTAAGGTGTGTTTCTTGGAGAGGCTGCTTGGAAAGAAGCACTAACCATGCTTTTACCACTGTCAGCCTCACAGGTGGGATGCTTCTGTCCAGAAAACAAACAATGAGGCTTTTAAGACTGTTGGACTTTTTAAATTTACCAAAGAGTATAATCTGGGGAGTCTGACTCAGTGTTATTTGGGAATTTTTTGTATTATTACATTCTTGGAAAATGCTGTATAGTAGAATACAAAGGGAAAAAAAATAGAAAAAAAAAGAGGACCTGCTAACTAGCACAATATAGAATTAAAAATGGCTTTTAAAAATATTGTTATATTAGAGACTACTAGACAACAGTTAAGAGATAAAGATGCAATTAGTAACAATACAGTAATTCAGCCTTCAGAGCTCCTTGCTACTTTACAAAAAACAATCACCCAGAACTATGGGTTCCTAGGTTTATTGTGGACAGGGCATGCAGATAAAATTATTTGTTACAATTACTTAGCAGGGCCCTGCATTCTGCTAGAATTCAAGCAAACTGCATCTGAATGCTTATTTTTGCCTTGTTTTGTATTGATCAAGAGACACAGAAAAAATGAGGCCAGGAAAATACACAATAGATGTGATAATTAAAAAAATCCCACCAAACCTGGAACTAAAGAAACTATGGGTATTTTCTGTCCCTTGTCTGAGTAACAGCACCAGTGGGTCACTGCCTCTGCTCTGAGGCAGGGAGAGACTGTGGCCATACCAGGACAGGGTTGAGACAAGAGGATTGAGTAGACACAGCTGCAGTGAGGAGAAGTGTGATAGTAGCTGTTGTCCCAAACAAGATGTGTCGTGACTTTATGTTGGGTTCTAGGAGTTTTATTTTTTCCCTCCCTTACTCTGGAAATCCAGGATGCTTCCTCCTGTTAAAATAAATGGAGATGGATATGCTGTCCAAATGGGGAAAAAATTTCTATGCCCTTTTGAGGTGTTCTTTAAGAAGGAACAGTTCCTCCCTGTTAGCCCACACTCCAAATGTTAGATGTATAAATAAAAACTGGCTGTGTACTCCCTCATCAGTTTTATTTTGAGATTTTTTTTTCTTACTTTCAGAACAGTGGATTTTCTTAGTTATTTTTCCATAATTGTTACCCATAAAAACTCTGGAGGAAATCCAGTAATTCCAAAACCAGAAAAGTGTTAATATTTATTGTTTGACAAATTTGTTATGGCTGCTTAGAAATGCTAACATACCTCGGTTCCTAGGTCTGCAGTCTGCTGTGCAACTGGATATTTCTTTGAGTTTATTTCAGATCCCAGAAATAATTGGACCTTTAGGAACCTCAGGCTGAACTTGACGAGTATCTCAAGACAGTGTAGAAATAGATGGAACAGTTTCAGTAAGATGCACAGATATCTTCTCAAATTCTTTCCTTTTGATGGATACATGTGATTGTTAAACTACTGACTTGCCTTAGTTTTAAGGACCTTTGTTTCTCATTGCTTTTCCCACGAGATAACAAATAAGGTTAATCACAAGCAACTAAGTATTCATGGATGTTATTACTTAACAGGAGGTCTTTGCCTGCATTCCTCTGGGGGTAAGAATTTGTACAATAATGACTGCTTTATTGATTTTAATGTAAAAAGAAATAAAGTTATAATTGTTTCTCCATCTTAGTTGTAATTCAGATTTCTTTTTTTTTTTGTTTAGTATCTGTATGGCAGTGTAACTTGTGTAGTACCTTCTGTAATTTGTTATTCTATCAATTAATGTATTATATATTGACAATTTATCAAAAGCTGTATGGTAATATACAAATTGAACTCAATTTAAAGATCGAATACTCTTTTTGTTTTTAGGGTTGGTGGTAGTTTGTTATAACTGTGTTATAATTCTTGGTTTTGATAGTTTATTTTTTACAAAGACCAAAAGGAAGTGTGCAAAACAGAGAAGAAATCAAAAAGACGTTAAATAAATCAGTTATTTTCAATATAAACCAGCTAAATTCTTAGCCTATGAGATGTCCCTAACTACCATGTTTCTTTACCCATTTGATACTGTGACCGTGAAATGAGAAGTCCCAAAGTACTGGCAAAATCTAACAGCAGAAGCCTTGTGCAACTTTGGAAGAACTGGGTTTGTCCAGACTGCGAGGCAGCAAGAGCTGACAGATGAGCATTACAGCAACTTTTCATGCATTTGGAAACTTGCAAAAGGGTTGGTGATTTTTGTGACTGCAGAAGGAAGAGTTTTTACTGGCTTCAAAGACCAGATGACTTAGTGGCATTTTAGGAAAAGCTTTCTCACAAGATATGTTAGACGTTGGAACAGATTGCCGAGAGACTCTAATGGCTGACAAAGGGAAAGTTTTTAAAGTTACTT